ACATGGTAACACATACAGTAAATTATTCGAACATGGTGACAAAACAATTTTATCTGAATATGGCAACACACACAGTAAATTGTCCGAACATGGCAACACAAACAGTAAATTATCCGACCATGGCAACACACAGAGTCAATTATCCAAACATGGCAAAACAAACAGTAAATTATCCGAACATGGCAACACAAACAGTAAATTGTCCAAACATGGCAACACAAACAGTAAATTATCCGAACATGGCAACAAAAACAGTTAATTATCGAACATAGCAACACAAACAGTACATTATCCGAACATGGCAACACACACAGTAAATTATCCGAACATGGCAACACAAACAGTAAATTATCCAAACATGGCAACACAAACAGTAAATTATCCGAACATGGCAACGAAACAGTAAATTATCCGAACACAGCAACATAAACAGTAAATTATATGAACATAGCAACACAAACAGTAAATTATCCGAACATGGCAACACAACAATAAATTTTCCGAAAATGTATTACGCATTCAGTAAATTATTTTTCAATGTCAACTGCACAAACTGTAAAATATTCGAAAATTCACAATATTACATTGATTGACTCAGTAAATCATCCGAACGTCAACAATTCGAAACAATCTATTACCCTATCAATTTCTGGCCAACCAAATAATTATCCGAACAAGCACACTACACAATCAGTGAGATATCCGAATGTCAACTGAACAACCAGTAATATATCCGAAAATTGGATTTCAGTGACTAATGGCCAATCGTCCGAACATTAACTATGCATTGTAAAATAGCCGATATTTGAACGGGAACGTGAAACACGATTAGTAAAGTGACGGTTTATCCGTCATCAATACAACTCCGCAAAGTCATCCAAACCGCAGGGCGTAGAAGCCTGCCGCGCGGCTAGAACTGCTAGAATGCAAATAGTTTTATCTAACTTTCTTAGCCTCTAGACATAAGTTAAACATTATTGGAACGGCTCATTTACAGTCACAAGTACAACAAATTTTCTAACTTTTACGTAGCTCAGCAAACAACGCAAATTCGCTTGGCTTAGTATATTTCGACACTGAAAAAATCTAATTGTAAATACTCTACCATGTACGATCGAATATGTAGTCAATATGAAAATAAACTGTATCAGCATTCTGGCACACACAGATAGCGCCACACTTTAAGTTATGTTCCTCCTGATATTTTTCATTTTATGATAGTTTACGTGGATATAAAGGCAAAGATGCCATAGTTTACAAAAAATAAATTAAACTTTGAATTTGGCATGAAAGGTTGTATACCTTTGACTATTAATACAATGATAATACATTATAAAATTGGAAAATAACTCAAATCATCTTGCACTAAATTTATTGGACAACCAAAACACTACAGACTGAAGCGACATACGATATTGGACCTACCATTCAGATTCGGCTAAGTGTTATCAAAATTCTCTTTGTTAGCTAGTGTTGACAGTGGTCAATCACTAGCTCATGTTCTTCTTTATTGTTATTTCATTTGTTTATTGTTCAACTGTTTAACAGATTGTAAATTAAATAAAGTAAAAAAAATGTGGCTGCACTTTAGTTTACGCCACACTCATTCGAATGAATTAAATTTATTATGAAGTTTGGTTAGTTAGGTTAAAACCTAACCCTACTAACCAAACTTGATATATCGAATGAAATAATCGATATATCGATCGATATATCCATTCAAACTAGTGTAGGACATAAACTAAAAAGCAGCCGCATTTTCATTTCATACTGTTTTAAAAACTCTCATTTTTTGCTAGGGTACAAGAAGGGATGCTGACTATATATACTACAGTCATAGTCAATTGAATATAAATAAATAGTTAATGATATATACAAATGACAAGAATCATATGAATACGAGCTTGTCATCTTCAACTCGAAGCCAAAATGAGGTTAAAACTGTTGTTTATAACTTTGAGTGACGTCACAAATTTTAGTGAATACGGTTTCCTTGTAGGAAGGGGCTCGTGTCGTCATAGGGAATACCACGAAAGCATACTGTTGAAATATAACGTTAATTGTAATACGTGTCATTGACTTCAAATACGTCACATTTATCTGGTGTCTCTGTGGTCAAAATTAACTATTTTGCACCATAAGCTTAGGTATTATGTTTTTACTTCAATGCTGCTATCATTCAAATGACAACAATCAAAATTATCTTGAACTGAAATCCATATATAAATCCAAAAGTACCATGACCTTTTAAAAAACTACAAGTCCCCATAAACCATATACTTAAAATGTTCGTCATAACGAGAAACCTTGCGCAAAACTATCAATTATTTCATAAATTGCCCTTTAAGGTCGTATAATTCCTTTCTAAAAGGATCTTTCCATATAGCTAATGTTAAAAATACCTCAGCTGTACTTATTTTTTTTATTCTTTCAATGTATTACCTTATTAAAATCTGGTGTGATTATTTTGTTGTATTAGGCCTACTGTATTCTGTTTTGTTTTTTCCCTTAACTAATCAACAGTTTTATTAATACTAATGAAGTCTAATGGGGTCAAGCCCATGGGTAACAGCTAGTAATGAAATAAATCTTCTTTTATCTCATTGACTCTTCACTACAATCAGGTATTTTATAAAAGTTAGTGTTAGTAGTATTTTTGTGTAAAAGTTATTATAGGTTAAGACGTTTGGTGATTTTCAAGTCAACTATAAGATTGTTGTCCTGAATTTCGTTTAAATGCATAAAACTGTTGGTAAATTGCATACAAAATTTCATTAAACGGAAAAAACGCCCAGACATGGGCGCAAACGCGCGCTTTTTCAAGGAATAATATTAATTTACACTAACACAATTCAACAGTCTTTGTTCAATTTTCAATAAAATTCAGTTTTTGATCAAAGTAAAGTTATGTAAATAAGTTATAAGTTAGTTGTAATGTATTACAGTTAAAATTATTAAAATAAATAATTAAAATAAAAAGATAGTTATTAAAATAAATAACTGCCTTAAAGTTTGCCGTTCGAATATTGAATTAAAAAATTACCAAAGGAACTTAACCCACTGTAAAATAAACACTAGAAAACAATGTAAGAGTTAATTTTTATATTCTCATAAGGCTCATGTTATTTTTTAATTTAAAATTAATGTTTTCTGCTTATTTTTTAGCCTATTTTAATTTATAAAGGGATTCTGCACATCTACGGGAAAATATCTTTCTAATAGAATGCGCGTAGATTTTCCCTGCGATGCCACACGAGCTGAGAAAAAAGGTTTGAAAGAAACATGCTTGCCTATTATATAAAGATTGTTGTAAATTATACATAATTAAGTCCAATGAAACGAAACCCTAAATAAATTCCATGAAAACACTCAGCAAAGACACGACACTAATAGAAATACGAGCATTCTATTCTATTACGAACTACGATTTAAACTTGAAATTCAAATAGTAAATCAAGTACAGTATAACGAAACAGAAAACTAAAACTTAAGTAGATATAGTCTTGGACTTCAGTTTGAGAAGAACGTCTTCGATTCCCGGCAAATTCAAAATAATTTAAGGGGTTTTGACGCTTTTGAAACCCTTCCATCAAAAGTGCAATTGGCGTTTGAAAAATTAAACAAGTAGATTTCTATAATATTATCACTCATATAATATCTTGGTATTTCCCGTACGCACTTGGAAAGTTGATATTCGGTGGGAATCATGGATGGAAATTTTGTTTGTGCCAAATATTTATAAACCAAACACCGACTTTGGCTGGGAGGAATTAATTAATAAGCGTAAACAATAAAACCATGACATAATGACATTGACTTTGGATACTGCAAGTATATTTATCGTCTTATTGTAAAATCAGAGGTCCTGTTTTCATGCGTGCTCAATACCTTATAAGCCAATGGGATGTTTATGTAGATTAAATGTTTTCCCTTTTTGTGCGAATCATAAATTGTGTTTCCCTCTATCATAAATTCAAAGCGAGTATCAATATGACACTAGTGCCATGCTGTCCTTCTTTTTTTACCATCACTTTTATAGCAGGCTTCCATCTCATCACTCTACGACAGTATCTGATTACGATGGTAGAGGAATTGTGGGATTCAATCCATGTGGGTAGGAACACCGTTGAATAACATTTGTATCTGGTTGGGTTGGATGGTTATTTAACTTGGATAGATGAGAGGCAAGTGATCGTATTTTAATAAGAATGTAGCGATCATCGAGATGGTTGTATCAAGAAAAAATAGGATTTTTGATTATCTGAAACCCTACTTAGCTTCTTTGGCGAGCTTTCAATAAATGGTTGTGGACCTTTTGTCCTATCTGAAGGGTCTCATTCCACACTCAGTCGACACAAACCTCGTTTTTATATATTTATCTTAAAATACGCACCTAGGTGCCATCGCTCAAAAGGAATGGTTAAGAGATAGCCATACACCTTAATCATTAACCATTGGTTAATCCCGGGATTGGTTAGAAAATCCCTGAAACGGGACGAGTCCCTATGTATACCACCACTCTTACTAATAGACCTAACATCCCAATACCACGAAACTTGAATTTACACAAGAAAATCCCGGAAACGTGTTAATTTCCTCCTGTAACCGCCACTATTACCAATAACATCCCAATACTGTACCAAGAAACTCAAATTGACACAATAAAATCCCAGAAGAGGGATAAAATCACGTGTACCACCACTCTTATTGCCAATAACATCTTAATACTGTACCACTAAACCCGAATTAACCCCAGAAAATCCCGGAAACGGGATCAAATAGTAGCTTACCCAATAACACCCCAATGTTGTATCACAAAACTCAAATTGACACCATAAAATCCCGGACACGGGATAAAATCCCCGTGTACCACCGAGTAGCGGTTCCATGCCTCATGACCAATCAGACGAAGGTCACTGCCGGGTTTTCCCTAAGTGATGGTGGGGGTGAGGGGGGGGAGGTACCATCACAGTACAATCACAGACCAGAGTGATAGAGGGAGAGGGATAGAGAGAGAGAGAGAGAGAAATCCACACGATCCAGAGTCCAGCCAGAGTCTACAGTCGATGTGTGCGGGTCGCTAGAGTTCAGGAACCACAGCTGAGTTTGCCAAAATCACCATGAAGTTGATCCTTCTTCTATGTCTTTCATGTGAGTACTTGATACTTATTTCTCCCGTAACCTGTTAGATATTTTGGGTTTGCATCTATAACACTGTAACTTACTAAACTTACTCGGGGACTCAGTAACTTGGTTGATTAGGGGAAATGAAAACTTAACTAAACCAGGTACATAAATAAAGTACTCTATGTGATCTGGAAGGATATTCAAGTAGCTTGATTAGTGTTAATCAATATTAATAACTTTTAACTATTGCTTCGCCGTGTGATTACATTTACAACGTGATAATCAAGAGGAGTATAAACACCTAAAACGGTCTAAAGCGTTGAAATGGTTTTAAGGAAGATTAACTATCGTCTTGATACCAAGTTCATTTTGCAGGTCAGCTTAGAACCGGTTGTCCTTTTATCGATTGAGGAAAGCAAGAGACAAAAACAGGTCGTCTGAAGTCATCCTAGTTCCTTTTACCACTACAACGATGTCTGCATGTAGTTCTTAATTGTTTTATAGGTACTTCAACATAAGTTGTACGATTTCCTAAATATGAAGACTTAAATCTCGAATACTGAAGCAATTTAATTTATCAACAATTACTACAGTATATATTCAGTTTACGTTTATACCATCAATTTGTCAAATCATTATCTTAGCTAAATTAGTTTTGTTTTTAAAATGTATCGGAAAAGTTGTGTAGATTGTTATGGATCGATGCCAGAATCAAGGTTTAAATCGTCAATGAGAGGCGCTGAGTGAGCTAAAAATATCATTCTTGTTTAGGGTTTAAAGAAACTGATTAAATATTTGACTTACACTCGCAGATAAGAAATGAATAACCTAATCACCCAACACAAGGGTTGGGTATTTTATTTTCAAATCTACTGTTAAATTTACACATGGTTTTCTGAAGCTCAAAATTCTGTCACATTACATAGGGTATCTAAAGTCAATGGACTCGTGTTCCTTCCGAGATAGCAAGAGAAAATGTACAGTTTGAGCTAACAAAACTGAATTTACAATGCGATGTTTATGTCTTCACTTGTGATATACGATAGAGAGCAACAGATTTTAACCCAAATATAAATGAAAGAGTGATGGGTGAGTACTTATTTTGTAGTAGTTTAATATCAGACGTTTCTTCGAACCATTTACTAAAAGCCCGCAACCAGGTGGCTCCAGTTTAGAGCTATCAAAAAGCTATTGTCTTTTCACAGGATTGAACCACGCACAATATTCCAGACCGATACGGTGTCCTAGATGAGTGGTATTACAGACCAAAGAAACTAATTTTGTCAAAGAATAAGAGAAAGTTGAACAAATTGCTAATTGTCTTTCGAAAGGCGTCAATGTACACAAGTTTAAATATACTCTGCATGGTGGAACCTGTTTACTGTCCCTTCGTCTCCCTGGGACTGAGAATGGAGGTTCAGGAGACAAGTGCTATCATACAGACTATAGTAGACAGCAACACAGGTTAAACAATTCCAGAATACTACACATTTGCATTTGCATGGCAGCGAGTTTGTCTGATTTGAGGGAAACTTTTCTGGATTTCAATACTTTTTTTGCTTTTATATGTTGAAACTGATTGACAGTTTAAAGAATTTATTTATATTTACTTGTTAATGTTTACAATAAGTACAAAATAAAACACCATTAGCCTGATTTAAATGTATAACTTCATTCATTATACACTGTAAAGTAAGCCTTTTTCGATGACAAATAAGAACAAACCTATGTTACACCAGAATTAACTGCATACACTAATATTTATTGCTTATCGTCCGAGTTATCTAAGGTTCTCGGTCGCATTTCTGGGGTCAAGGCAAGGAGGGATTTATTTACAACGTCACCGTGGAAAAATGTCGCGGTAATATATCCCGTGACTAATCAGCTGTTTAAGTACAACAATCAGATAAATCAGCTGATTGGTTAGTCGTTCACAAACAAGTAATCATATGTTGTAAATAACGTATTAACGCGGTTGACGCATTAATTAATTATTTATTATTATTATTAATTATTTATCGTAATTTAAATTTAAGTACCTACTTAATTTGTTTGAAGTTTGCAGTATAATGAAGATGGTGATTCTTAGACTAATAGTTTTGTTAAGCGAATGATTCATAAATCAGTAAAAATGGATACAAATTATTTTAATTCCTTGGAGTTTGTCTCCTTATATAGTTCAATAATAAAATACCATTCTATGAAATTTTTAAAGGAATATGTATTTACAGTAGTTACCATTTTGAGGAACTTAAATTCAAGAAACAAACACACATTTTACTGTTGTTATGATAGTTAAAAAGAGGGTTAGTTATTTTATTTTCATAATTCCAACAGATAATCATAGCAGATTACTGATTTTCGACCTTACGTCCTTCATTATTAATTGTTGTTTTGAAAGGAAATTTGTAAACTGCCATTGATACTTTGGACCTAGTTAAAGCAAACTGTCTATTTGGAATAATAATTTTACAGAAACTATAAAATCACATCAAAAACAACTTGTTTGGGTCCAGGGGGGCCAAAAACGGACGATTCTACCCAAAACTTGTAGCCTATTAAAATATTTTGAAAAAAAAAATACTTCTTCCGTATAGGCTACTATTATATAAAGGGGGTGAAGGTTAAAATGCCAGTGGCAAAAAAAACATGTGAAAAATTGACTTTGGATGTTCTATAAGGATGACAAATCTACAGAGTGTATTTAATCTATGGTACAAGATGTTAACATGAACCAAGCAAAAAGATGCTGGCCTTGCAAATACTTGTTGGATTTCCCCGACATCTGTAAAATATGGCTCCTGGAGGGGTTCGATGTCCCTGTAACCTTCTAGCTAGATTGTTATCCAAATTGTTTTTTACACTTTCTGACAAGATTTTATACTCTTTAATCCGACATCACTTCAATAATGGAACACTAGCATGGGAACAGTAACACATTTTGTTTACAATAGTTGTCGCAAATGTTTTTCAAAAGTCGAAAACACATAAAAAAATCGCTTGTATGAAGGAATTTATTGGCCTCGGTTAGTTATTCCCTGTAAAATTTCAATATTTAATTGTATCATTAAAAAAATATTTTCGTCGAATGTTTTTATAAAAATAATTATGACAGTTGACATTACAATTTTTTGAAGAAATTATGGTCAGGTAATAATTTATGATTTTATGGCAACTTAAGATTAAAACCGAGGATAAATATCCTGTAAATTCACAGATTTCATAAATGGTACATGGGCAAGTTTAAGACTAGATTAGAGAAGATTAGATGTAACCTTTTCAAATTTCTTTTAAGATAAGATAAGATGTATATGATAAATCAGAGTGCATATATGTGTATTGATATATGAGTATTAAATGAATTAGGTGATAGATTTTTACCATATTATTGAGTAAAATTCAGGGATAAAATTGGGCTAATTTTTACCCAAATGTTAATGTTGAGAAGGATATGTATACGATGCAGTGATACGCCATGTGTTTAGCTTTGTTACTGACTAAAATCAGCTGATTTAGTTAGCCAGCAGATTAAAAGCCTGACAATTAAATAAAATCTATGTTCAGTTTTGAACTATCATTAAGTTTGTGACTTTTCTCAGAACCAGCTAATTGAACATTAATTTTGAATTGTAATAACAAACAGAACAAGCCACTATAATTATTACGAATTTCACAGTTGTGCCATGGGGCCACGGATATGTATCGAGAGGGAGTGCGCAGAAACCCTTGCCTGCGCAAACTTCTCCACCTACACAAGCGCAGGATCCTGCGGAAATGAGCTGCGCACACATGGAGCAGCTCAGGGATGCAAACCAGGGACAGATGTCGACACCTTTGGGTGATAAGTTTGACACCTTTGACTGGCAATTGACAAAGGTGAGGGTCTTAAAGATATAGCAATTTTTAACTATAGGTAGAGCTAGATATTCTTTTCCCATTTTGAAATTTTTTAGCCGGTTTTAGAATTTAAAAAACCATTATTCTAATTTTTGGATGTATTTTTTCATCACTAATGAAACATGGTGTTGATAAAATAAACATCTTAAATTATATTATGTCAAATTTATATACTTGTATTATATATTTTATCTTGTTGTTCTATTTTATGCAAGTCAGTTACCCCTTGTACTAATCATTTTAATTTTTTGGTTGTATTTTTTCCTCACTAATGGAACATGGTGTTGATAAAATTAACATCTTAAATTATGTAATGTAAAAATTATATTCTTGTCTAAATATTTTATCTTGTTCAATCTTATGTTAGTCAGTTTCTCCTTGCCCTCAATAAATCAATATAAGTGTTGAGGTAAATTGTGTATCTATATTCATTAAGATCTAGTTTAGCACTCTCCTGACTAAAAATTGATGTAAAATTGTTTTGATTTTTACGCTTGCTCGGGCATTTATAACGAAAGCCATGCGGTGTACGTATGCCAATGTGCACCTTCTATATTCAAATGTTTACGTTTTTCCTACATTAAAAGTGATTTGTCTATCAACCCAGCCGATAAAAGTTTTGGGACAAATAAGTTACAGATAAATACAAAATAATAACTTGTTTGTGCACAGCTGTACATTTTCCCAAAAGTCCCTTGAAATTCTGTCAGTTTCCCTCCCTGTAAGTAATTGTATAGTTTTATTTTAGCTCATCAATCTCAAGTACAGTTAATCCTACAGCACTGAATTTAGTGACGTAATAGTTTGTTGTGTTTGTGATAAAATTGTCTACAGTAAATTTCCTTTACTGACTAAATCTGCTATTTTCTCTACAATAGCTAACATAGTGAATTTTTAAACATCTATTTACTGTCAATACATATTTTCTGATGTAGTTATACGAAATAGGACACAAATCACTTTTGTGGACCAATATAGCAGTAAAGATTGCATGATTGAAATTTTAGTCTGTGTGTAACATTTCCGTCGTCTGCTCCAGGAGCTGCACCAGACGGAGGGAGGCAACATAGTCATCTCCCCAGTCAGTCTCAAGGTGGTTCTAGCCATGTTGTACGAGGGAGCTAATGGGACGACGGCTCAGGAGATCGGAGACGCTCTCGACCTGTCTAACAACGCTACAGAACGTAGACACTCCAGGGAACGATTCTCCGCCATCTTAAAGTCTTTGCAGGCGAGTAACAAAGTTGATTGGATAACATTCTACCTTTGACTACAGTTAACTAGCCACCTCATAACATAACATTGAGATGCCTCGTGTAGCTTTTTTCCTAACTAAGATCAGCTGTTCCTTAGCCAGAACCGTTTACTAAAAACCTAATCATCAAGGACAGCAAGGTTCGGTAAAAAAATCAGACTTTTTTTAAAGATTAAACCGGCAACCTTTTAAGGGGCAAACGGGCATTAAATTTTTCTTCTCAAATTAAAGATTTAACGTTTTTTTTTATAATTATGAACATAGTTAAATTGAGCTTTGTCAGGGTGAAATGCTTTAAATTACTGATTTGTTGACTTATTAACTTTTCACTTATGTCTAATACACTGACTTTTCAACCAAGCCAAAATTATAGATCAACTTATTGTAGTTTATAGCAATTCTTTTATACTACCTATATAAAATTTGTAAGAACCAAAAACTAAGAGTGCAAATATTATTTACAGAACGTGTCTTAATGTAAGTGACTGAGTTTTTGGATCATTGACATTTGGATGTTTAAGTAGACATCCCATGTTTACAGACCTATTTTAAATTCAATTTTGTAGTTCTACTTAACGGAAACAAACTACTGATTCGATCCCAAAAGAGGGTTGATCTCGGGTAAAGATACTTATCTTTACGCTATCAAATGATGGTTTTAAACAAAAGGTCCACATTAGAAACTAGCAGAGGTTTGAAAAGTTCTTTTCAATAAAACAACGACAACAAAAACTTAAAAACGCTAAATGCGTTAAAACACACAAAAATAGAAAAAATATACAATATCTTAATTTTGCACTAAATAACAAAATTTCCCAACAGACATCCGAAGGTGAATACAAAATCAAGATGGGAACACACGCTTTCATCGACCAGAAGGCAGAACTTGAGCCCAACTACCAATGCAAGCTTAAGACCTATTACAATTCAGACATAGTCAAAGTGGACTTTTCCAACCCAGCGGCCGCTGTCAAAACTATCAACAACTGGGCCAAGAATGTCACCGAGGGACGTATTCAGAGCCTTTTATCTGAGTGTGAGTAAATAAGACATTTTTTGTACATAAAATGAATGTTCTAAAATATCAAATTTAAATTTGGTTGGCATAGAACCTACTCTCTATCTTGGTAGGCTTTCACGCACAGTCAAAATAGATTGTAAATCTTGGATTTATGTGATAACTGCCTCATCGCTGAATGTTTTTGTCAATTCAAGATGCAGTCATCCTCCAAAGACTACATTTTGAAATAATATTTTCTATATGAAAATATAATAAAGTACAACGTGAGTTGTGACCTATCTTATATTAAACATACTTCCTCTTGGATAAGCTAAAGAAAATTTTAAGATGTGTTTCCATTTTTAAATAAATATATAGGCCTATTTAAATAAATATAAAAATCAAAAACATATTTAACAAAGTACCCTTTTAGTAATTATTTTATTTTAAATAAATATTTAGTTTGCATAAACATTTTTTTACGCCACACTACATTATTTTGACGAACTTACCACGCAAGGATTTAGTCCAGAAAACAGCTGTTTGACGCCAGCTTATTCAAATGGGGTTTCATTGCGTACTACTGTACTGTAATGAGTTTTGCCGGACACCGGACACCAATCAGCTGATTATACTGTATTTAGGTGACAATGAATGAATATTATAAACAAAAACATATTATGACTAGTGATTTTTAGTCCAGTTGGTGGAAATATATAAGGATTTGTACAGATTTAGTAGTATGGCGTAAACTATCGTACGTAACTCGTCCAAAATGTGTGTACCGTACTCGACTTCGTCTCGCACAGGAACAACCACACTCGTCCGGTAAACACTTATTTTCAGGACTAGTAACGTAATATACTATTAAGCCACACTACACTGTTTTGGCAAGGAAAATGTCCAGAAAAAGTCCAGAACTTAATCATATGGGGTTTCATTACGTACTGTACTGCAATGAGTTTTACCGGACACCAACAAGCTGATTATACTATATTTGGCAATGAGTGGTTATAAACAAAAACATAACCTATCTTATTAAGTTATGACTAGTGATTGTTAGTCCTTAAGTCAATGGTAATATACAGAGTGTTCAAAAAAGGTAAGGACATATTTTACCTAGTGATTACTTGGGTCAAAATAAAAAGAAAATCAAGAATAACATTTTTTCCAAAATCGCTTCGTTAACCTGATAGGCTATCCGCCATTTTGTATTTTTTACATAAACATCTTCCCCTTTTAATACTTTTAACCGATCTTTATGAAACTTTGTATGTATGTTAAGGTAGACGAGTCCCGTGTCATAAAAAAAGTTCATCTCGATTCATCTTAAAATTTCAAAATAGCGGCCATTTAAAACTTTTAAACTCAAATTACTCGAAAATGACTGGTTTTATGAAAAAATGCCACATACAATTTTATTTAGCATTTTTAATTACCTATCGAACGGTACCAAGTTCAAAAAGATCGAATAAGAAATAGCTGAAATATTATGAGTTTTAGTTGTGAAATGGGGTAAACCTGACTAGCTTCTGCCTTATTCTACCCCATTTTACAACTAAAAATCGTAATATTTCAGCTATCTTATTCGATCTTTTTGAACTTGGTATAGTTTGATAGGGAATCAAAACTGCTAAATAAAAGTGTTCTTGACATTTTTTCATAACATTAGCCGTTTTTGAATAATTTAAGTTAAAAAAATTAAAATGGCCGCCATTTTGAAATTTTAAATTGAATCAAGATGAATTTTTTTCTAACATCGGTCTTTTCTAACTTAACCTACATACCAAGTTTTATAAAGATCGGTTGAAAACGTCAAAAATAAAAATGTTTATGAAAAAAATACAAAATGGCAGATATCTGGTTAACGAAGTGATTTTGGAAAAAATGTTATTCTTGATTTTCTCTTTGTTTTGACCCAAGGAATCACTAGGTAAAATATGTCCCCACCTTTTTTGAACACCCTGTATAAGGATTTGTACAGATTTAGCAGTATGGGGTAAACTAGCTATCGTACGTCACTCGTCCAAAATCTGTTTACCGGACTCGTATGGTAATCCCGATCCTGGAACGACCACACTCGTCCGGTAAACACCAATTTTCAGGACTAGTAACGTAATATACTATTACAATTTAGTGTTCCTTTGTGTCTTGTGAAAACAGTAGGAGAAAAAGATAAATACTTAAGACCTAAAAACTAAGTTTTTACAATTTTCCAGCTGACACCCAAACCAACACCATCATGCTATTGTTGAACGCCGTTTACTTCAAGGGCCTGTGGGAAATCCCTTTCCCTGCAAACCAAACACAGACCAACACCTTCCACTTGGATGACCAGAAGAGCGTGAAAGTTCCTTTCATGAACGTTGTGGACAAGTTTGAATACTACAACATTCCTGATCTTAAAGCTCATATGCTGAAACTTCCATACAGGGTTAGTCAAATTTCTTATAAAAAATTACGACGTCCCAAATTGACATGTTGTGCCACAATGATCTGGATAAGTGAAGATTTATTGTAAACTTACTAAGATTCCTTGCATATAGTTTTATATATCTCTACAATCAGTTCTGTAATCATTTTTCTGAAGATGATGAGTAAAACCAGTAATAAACGTAGATGTTATTTCTTGACATCATTACACTGGCACTTGAATTTAAAAAAACAAAAAAAAAACACTAAACGCTTTTGACCATTTTCCTTGTACAAACCCAATCAAAATGTCAGCTAGACAATGTCAACAAGGATATTCCATCGTCATCTATTTCAATGATGAATAAGTATAATAATTCTGATGAAGTTTCTCAGCTATCATAGTAATTTATAAACAGTTTCACTAATTCATTACAACATCTTTGGACATTATTGAAATTATGACAAACAGGAGATTGCTATAAGATATTTTACTTTGAAAAACCATAAATTCTAGATTTTTATGAAAAAAAGTAAAAAAAAACCTACGAAGAAAAACTAAATTGGACTGTCTAAATGACATAAGTGCCTTCAAATATGAAAATTATGATTGCAATCATATGATTGTTGGTTTATTTCTATGAACAGCTTCTGCTTTGCAACCAAGCATGTTCCAACCTATCCCACAAGAAAGCCTGCGTTCTATACCATCATAAGTGAGCTCAATGAAAAATTTCATGATCACAAAAACTTTTAAGCCGAAAAAAATTACCAACTAAACTAACAGTTTATTGTTGTTGCCAGGGGGAAAAGTTTTCCATGTATGTACTTCTGCCATATGACAAGACTGGGTTGAACAACATAGCCAAGACTCTAGGACCAGCTCGTTCCCTCAAGGCGGTCATTGATAACATGATACCCACCCTGGTCAACCTCACCATGCCCAAGTTTGAGTTTGTCTACACCACAAAGCTGCGATCAACCCTTGAAAAGGTACAATTGTGATTTAAGTAACATTTGTAAATTTTTCAACACAGAACAGTACAAAGCTGAGTTGTACCGTTAAAATTCATGTCTCCCTTTCTTTAGCAATAATTTTGTCAAGAGATTCTGTACAGTCGTCTATTTCTAACTCCCTTAGATAATCAACAGCAATCGTTATGTAACAATGATGTTTTGTTAGAAAGGGTTAGATAGCATGAACTAAATCCAGCAAAACAATAGACAAGTTTAGTTATACTTTGTGCACTTGATATTTTTTGGTCCTTTTTACATTGGCTTGAATCTGTTATTGGTATTCAGAAAAAGTGTATTGATTGAGCGTAAAAGTCTAAAAACTTAATTTTAGAGCCTTTAGTTTAGAATTATTATTGTTGTTTACTTTAAAATGATCCAATTCATATATGAGTAAGGTTTCTTATTCCAAATAGTCATCAATATCTGTCTGTTTAATTATTCCGTTTCTTTCATAGGGGAATTTACAATTGTGTATATTATAACATATGGTTATATTATATCATGAATCTTGACACCTGTTTCAGCTTGGTATCAAGACCATGTTTACAAGCAAAGCCGAGCTTGACGACATTGCTACTACAAAGAGTGGAGAACTTGTGGTGTCCAATGTGCTACAGAAGGCCGGCATTTCTGTGACCGAGGCAGGCACCGTCGCGTACGCCGCTACTGGTCAGTAACGGACAAAAATAATCTAAATTTCCATCATATTAGTTTTGATTTGAATACATGAATATATTACAATATTTCTAAATTCTAAGAAAAGACTTTACAGAAACCTTGAAAATCTTAAAAACTATTAAAAATGCATTTGGAGTTGCTAGCTTTAAGGTTAGTGTCTCGCACATACGGAAACAGAGGCTCAATCCCTTGAACATTCTTAAAATTTGTGGCGTACTGACTGCTTTTCTATTAAAGATTTTAGCATTTCTCCCATACTAAGTTCTACTAGTGTAACAATGAGAATTGTAAAAGTTTAAAATTTACAATTTCAATGTATAAAACCTATCTGCATACTTTAAAAAAATCTGTAGGTCAAGATCATTGTTTTGTTTGAAGTGTTATGAAGTTCCGGCATATTTTGCTAATAAAAATAACGTGTTCACTCACACTTTTGATATGTAAAAAGTAGCCTACTAAAAACCACCAATCTACTGTATTAAGTTTTGTTTGGTTCTAATAAACTTTTAATTTACATTTGCCAGGTTTAAACTTCTTCCAGGCAAAGAAATACTATAAAACTCCATGTCAAAATGAATATTAAGGAAATCACTGAAATAAAGGATCGTCTTAACATTTTTGTGGAATATTGTAGAAAACCCTTGTAATTAGCTTATTGAACTTTGGAATACCTTTCAAATATGTGGATAACATTAATTTATTATGTTCAGCTGTTGATCTCGGCAACAAGTTTGGCGGAGCTGAGGAGATGGTCGATTTCAATCTCGACCGACCGTTCCTGTTCTTTATTGAAGACACTCGTTTGAAGACGACCGTGTTTGTCGGAAAAGTTACCAACCCGGACAACGCCAAAGTAGTGTCAACGCCTCAGGAAACGTCACAGCAAACACCACAACCTGCGGGGAAGCCATCTGCAGAAAATCCAACTACAGGGGAACCGACTGGTGGTGCGTAAACGAGAACACTATTAACAATGGCTGGACTCTTGGTGCTTGTTGTGTCTTGTCTTTCCTAACTGAGCTTTGTAATTTGTACAGCTTTTGACAATTGTTTGTGTGTGGCACGATAATTTTGATGTAATTCATGATGTAATCTCATAAATTAATATAATTCATAGTAATAATGCCCAGCTAGTCCATAATTCACGGGTTTGATGAACTAAAGTAATGTTCTTTTATTAAACTGATTGTTTTTTAAATTGTGTGGATTTATTTAGCAACATATTAATAGTATATTTCATCACGACTCTTTTTGACCCGAGGTCAAGTTTTACGATCTAGGCGAAGCTGAGGTCGGAAAATGAGCGAGGGTTAAAAAGTCACTTTTTGCCTGTGTGGTGAACTATATTTTTTGTCATATTGCATCATTAAGCTCAACAATGGTTTAACTAAAAAACAAAGCTAGAAAAAAAAAATTATTTGTATGTAAAGATAATCTCTCAAAACGACTTCTAGCTTGTTTTCAATCCTGCTAATGCAAATAAGCAGCTGTTAAGTAAGTGATTCAATCATTTCGTTTATTACAATTGTATTACAGTACATTATACCATCGATATGTCGAACAATCGACAACAATAGGCTAAAACCTTACTTAATAAATCAATCGATAAATAATTTTGATCGATAGTGATATGTCTTGAAAATGATTTAAATTGCAGCTGACTTTTAACTTGTTTTTATTATTGTTTTTGTTGATAGTTTTTGACTCATGAATTAGTTCAGTTCTATTTGATTCAACAAATTTACCTATCAATTTATGTATTTACTTCAAACATAAAACTGGCGACGAGGATGGGATTTTGGATGGGATTGCCAAAATCGAAATTTATAACTGTTTATAACAGCTAATTTTTACTCCCTAGAGAGTAAAAATGCTACTTTATGATGCTTACTTTATTTACTGATGAACTGACCCATTAACCATCCAATAAATCTACGGAATGATTTGCTTACTATGTGAAATACAAAGAGTCACTCAAGCTAAAGCCAATAACTGCATCATTCCTGTGAGCGACGCCATAGAATTAAGAAGGTTGGGTTTTTAAACATTTAAAAATAAACAACTACCTAAGATTTTGGCCTCCAACGGTTTTATTAGGTAATGTTCTCTCCTACTTTTTATACAACAAGAGAATCCAGTTTTACAAATCAAATTAGTCTCCTTCAAATTACCGTAGTAGTTTGAAAGTTTTGCCAAAGAAACACCTAAGGGTAAAACACGAATACTAGAAAAGACCAGGATCATAAACATAAACAGATGACTTTTTTGGCCCGAAAATACACAAAACCATATGTTAATTAATGTTGTTAGTATAGGGGTTTATGTTTATGATCCATACCGGTATTTTGTTAGTATTCATGGGGTAAAATGAAATTTGAAACAGACTAATATGAAACTAACCAAGGACAACCCATAAGCCCTTCAAGCTCAAAAGTAAGATTTATTGGCCATAATGTGTAGGTATATAACAAAGCATAAACCTCTCAAGTGTTTATGTGAGCGTAGCTCAACAAAATCGGTTGAAAACTGTGCCTGATATATGCTGCTACCTGAGAGACAAACTTACTACTATAATTTATGTTTTTTTGGTTTATTGTTATTGCGGTAGACTATTGGGAGAGATCAATGACTGAGTGTTGTAAAGTGTAATTTGCCAGCCAGGAGACCTAAGGTTAAAATTTGTCCGGGTTGGGTGTGGATCTATATCTGACCCAAGCTAAGAAAGGGGTGACCAAGTTCTTGCACAAGCCAATCAGAAAATGTGAGAGTTACATAAACCAGTGACATTCTCAACGTCGTGTTCCTTATTTCATTCTCTATTCTAGCCTTCCGCACACTTTTGGTACGAAAATATTCGTCATATTATTCAAAAACGTAATGAAAGAAAATTGATGCTTCCGCCAAGGAAAAATTGCGCACCGAGTTGAGATTTCAGTATTCTCTGTCGTCAAGCACTATTAAAATCCATTGTAAGTTAACAGACCTGAGTTAAGTAATGTGTTTGGACGTAGGAAATGTGTGCAAGGGGTGGAGTGTATTTGAATGGGGTGTTCCACTTATGCAAAATGTTTTTTTTCTTTGTGTAAGTCGAATGTTGTCTGTCTCATTAGAAGCAGTGGTTAATTAAATGGGTGTTTGCTACACATCGCAACGTAACTGAACGAGAGAGATTTTTGAACTAATAGGAGACATCTCTATAAGACTATCAACGACTAAGGTCAGTCCTGGAAGTCTGAAACACGTCGATTAGCAAAGTTTCCTTAAATTCAATCACTGTATCTATATACACTGATGAACACCTGCTGCACACTCCATTGTGAAAATCTGAAGGGTTTTCTATGAGCTCCCTAAGCCACTATGCACATTTTCTACATCGATAACCTTTTCTACTCACACACACATCAACTGTAACAGTAATCAACATGAATTGAATGCCTTCCTACGGAAACCTAATATCAGAACATAATTCATACTTGGAAGTAGTGTCAAATTTAATTAATAAAGTTTTTTAATACCATGACGTAACTGTTTGTCCTACAAAGGCAGAAACCAGCTGGAATAAGAATAGTATATGAACAGATTTGAACTCGCTAACTTGGCTGCGGTTGAAGCTTCACAAAGACCTTAATTTACGGACAACCCTCGTCTAAACCAAGCTAGTACAACTTCCCATTGAAATAAATAAATGTGTAACTCATGTCTACACAAATTACTAAATCTTTATAGACCAAGAGAAATTTAGGAAGACCCACAACCGCTTTTTGTTTTGTTTTGATGTCCCCAAAGGACAAAAACACCATCCGTTCAAATTCACATTCAGTAGAGACTCCCTCTTACCCACACTTTTTAACTGGACAGCGGTTTATCTAGACCAAACTTAGCATAAGTAACATTTCTTTAACCGGAAATTTTTGTCAGCACATCAGTTTCACTGGACTAGATCCTCAGAAAGTGGGCGGTACTGAAACAACTTTTGCGGGAAAGATTTGAGACCAGTGATTACATTTCTAAATACTATGCTAAAATTCTGTTTTGGTTTTCAAGTGATTTCCGTGGAGTGTGGATTGTCGGAGAGAGTTTTTAAGAGCAAAAATGTTTTTTTTCTCATTTTTTACCCTCTAAATATGAAATTTTGCAGATTCTTTCCAAACCTTTTTCTAGAGCACAAAGAAATAAAGTGCTATTTTACAACAAAGTGTTATTTTGTGCCAAATGGTTATTGAGAAAAAAAAAAAAACTATAAATTTAAAGTGTTTATGTTATTTTCATGATAAATAAATAAACTATTCTAGATTGCTTGTTTATTGATATGTTTTAATCTAATTTTGTAAATCTATTTTATTTCATACCAAGCTTTTAACATTTAATTAGAAAACACACTTTACAACACTCCTTGTAGCAGCAAACCTAAGGACTCACTAAACTTTTTAAATAGGGAATAAATCAAATCTAACATGCTTAAGGGAATATTTCAGTGAAAATCCAATCAGGCAAATGGGAATTGGCTTAGTCTGCAGGTTTGCTGCACCAGGGGTATTTTACTGGATACTTGGGCCTACATCTTAAAACTGGCTCCAAACCAGTAGGACGAGTAGTATGCAGCATAATCACATGGATTAAAGGTTGAAGCTATTCATAATTGGAGAAATTCAAACCCAGGCTTTCGGAACTGAAATATGCTCTCACCACTACATCACATGTATACCAGAGAGAGGTCCAGCATCAAGTCCAGCCAACCGCTATAGTTGAGTTGAGATTATTACAAAATACTGGCAATGGAGGTAGCTTTTAATCATGGTCAAGGTATAGAAACAGTTTATTCGGGAAAATGTTTGTAGGTAGCCTTGACTATTAACATATGAAAAGTACAGAGTGAATTGCTAGCCTAGGAATGAATCTTATGAAATGTATCTTACTTCGGAGTGTGATGTATTATTATACAGGGTGTCCTGCAAGTAAATAAAACAATTTACAAATTGGCTTGATGGGTAAAAAGAATTAAGAACAACATTTTTCTAAAAATATCTAATTAGGGTTTGTTAGCAAGATTTCCGTAATTTTTCTCCGTTGTATTTATTTAAATCACAAGCTGGTTAAAAAAAAGTAATTATAAAAAAAATATTTTTGGTTTTCAAATGGCAGTTATTTTAATGTTTTTTATAACTGAAATAGATTAAATATTGCTGATTTTATCAAGAAACTCCATGAACACTTTTATTTGGCATTTTAAATTTCCTTTCAAACAACATCAAGTTAAAAGGGATCAAATAATGAATATCTGCGAAATCCCAATTTTTAGGCTAAAATAAGGCCTTCTGTAATAAATGGGACCCTACTCTTGTAACTGCTTAGACCTATTTTCCCTGGCCTCCACAACTAACTAAAAATCTAGATTCCTTATTTATTATTTGGCCTTTTTAAACTTGATTTTGTTGATAGGAAACTGTAACTACAAAATAAAAGTGTTCTTGGATTTTTTTTTAATTTTAGTTATAAAAATTAAAGTAGCCAACATATTTAAATAAAAAAATATTTTTAATGTATATTTTTCCTAAAACAGCTTGTAACTTGATAACTGTACCCTATACAGAATTTCATAAAGATATATTCAATAGTTTCTAAGATATAAATGTAAAAACAATAAAACAAAATGGCAGATATTTTGCTAACGAGACATTTTTGACCAAAATAAATTGTATTAAAGATTACGTATGCTACGCAAATTCATTATTTTTGTTTTTCTTTGACCAATTAATTAAATTTGTTCCTATATTTTTTACTAACTTGCGGGACACCTGTATTCCTGGCTTTCCACTGAATAATTAGAGTGCTTGGATCGAATTCATCCACCTCCAGCACTATTAGATTCAACAACATGAAATGTTTAAAGCATAAACTCCTTAAAAATATCCTTAAAAAAGTACTATCCAATAAATATACAAATAAA